GTCCACACACCCTGTGTCTCAGCAGTTCCACGCTGGGATGGATCCTCTTATCAGGGCCATAAAGGGAAGGGTAATTGTGGACGGGTTGTGAGCAGAAGCTGGGGGACAGGGCGTGTCTCCGCTGGGCCAGGGAGGGCAGATCAGGTGAGGGACACGGGAACCTGGTGATTCTAAGTATGCTGCTGAGTGAAGAAAGAAACAGTGAGATATAAATAAATTGAAAATAGACAAGTACATGAGTGCAGATTTTTTTGGTAAAAACGAATACAAATCGATAAACACTAAATAGAATGAGTGCCCTGTGAGCGGAGAGGAAACTGGGAGCCACAGGGCAAGTGGATTAAAAAGAAAACAATTACAGAATAAAAAACAGAAAGGAGTAAGGAGTTTTTGGGAAGTGTTCCTAATCGTCGTTACACCTGAGCTGGACTGAGCAGTGGAGAGATGAGGAAGACGCGGCTTCCCTCCAGTAACTGTCCTGTCCCCCGCACTCCGCAGGGTGGAGGCTCTTCGGGAAGCGGCCACGGCTGTGGAGCAGGAGAAGGAGGTCCTCCTGGAGATGATCCACAGCATCCAGAACAGCCAGGACATGCGGCAGATCAGCGACGGTGAGGGCCCCTCCCGGGGCCGGGGGGGGCGGCGGGGGTGCCGCAGAGCCGCTCCTCCAGCCCAGCAGAGACAGCCGGGCAGGATGTGACAGCAGAGGAAACGGGCACAAGGTCGGCAGCAGAGAAGACAAAAGGAGATGAATGGAGGTGTAACGTATAGAGGGGAAGGGGAGAAAGGCAGAGAAAACAGATTATGGACCCACTGAACCCCGTTCCACAGGAGGGCCGGGTGGCCTGTGATGCTCTGCACCAGTGGGCGGTGCTCCTCCTAACCGGGCTCCCCTGGGGCCGCACAGGACCGGCCTCTGGGCCGAGCAGCTGGTGCGGTTAAGTGTGCATCCCGGCCCAGACCCACACTGTCACACATCCTCAGAGGGGTCAAGATCTAGTGTGTCTCTTCACTGTCCTGGCCATAGAGCAGTGAATTGGGAAGGAGGTTACAGAGCAGGACAGGTTGCTGATTTCCATCTAAATAGTGAAGTGATAACCCAGCACCCTCTTCATACTGGCCAAGACTCAGACTACTGGCCTAAATTAGTCTGGAGGGGATGAAGTCAGTGCCTCATTTTCAGGCCAGCTTTTCCTCCCGTGTCATGGCTTTTTTCAGCCAGAATCGGGGCATTGTATTGATACACACACAGAATGTGAGGCCCCAAAATATGCCTCTCTGGCCTAAGGATTATTCCGAACTGGATATTTTTGAGAAACTGCAGACACAGGAGGAGGAGCTCTGAAAACAGTAGAAGTCACTGTTTTGTAAGGGAAATTTATATTTACATTTTGTAAAGGAAATCATTTGTAAGGGTGTCTCCCTTTCTACCAGGAAGAGGAGGATGACAAAACTACAAGAAACCTTCACCAGTGGAGAAGGCACCTACTGAATCTACATAAGAACCTTACCTTTGTCTATCGTGCCTTTTCTGGGAACCTCCAGAACTTGCCTTCCTCCGTCCTCACCTTCTCTAGCTGAGGGTATTTTGGGTGGAGGCTGGGCCATCTCAGGGGGTTACTCGTTTCCCTGGGGATCTCCCATGTATATACATGAGGTATACATGTCAATAAGCTTCTGGGTTTTTTTCTTGTTAATCTGTCTTATTACAGGAGGGTCTCAGCCAAAAGCTCAGAAAGGTAAAGGGAAAGTTATCTCCCTCCTCTAATGCACATCCTCACGTAGATCCAGGGCATCCAGTCTCCTGCTCTAACCAGCACAAAGCCCCAGTTACAGACGCACACCTGCCCCAGCTTCTGCAGACGTGACAACCGCAGAATCATCTGGCGTCCAATCTGATACTCTTTATAAATTAATCTTATTGCTGTAGTTTTAACGTGTATCTTTAAGAAATTCATAGGTGCTCACAGGATAGATTCAGCCACACAAAAATACCTTAGTGTTCTTGACATAGATGTGTGTATGTCTCATATTGATTGATATTTCAAACTTTTCATGATTAGGAGAAAGAGAAGAATTAAATCTGACTGCAAACCGTCTGATGGGACGAACCCTGACTGTGGAAGTTTCAGTAGAAACAATTAGGAACCCCCAGCAGCAGGAGTCCCTCAAGCACGCCACCAGGGTCATTGACGAGGTGGTCAGTAAGTTTCTGGATGATCTGGGAACCGCCAAGAGTCACCTGATGTCGCTGTACAGCGCATGTTCCTCTGAGGTGCCTGCGGGGCCGGTGGATCAGAAGTTCCAGTCCATCGTGATTGGCTGTGCTCTCGAGGATCAGAAGAAAATTAAGAGAAGACTAGAGACCCTGCTTAGGAACATTGAAAACTCTGACAAGGCCATCAAGCTGCTGGAGCATTCTAAAGGGGCTGCTTCCAAAACCCTGCTACAAAACACTGAAAGCAGATTCAACTAGTGTTCCAACCTAAGAGCCCTTATAAATAATCACATAAAAATGATAACGTACTATCTTAAGTGATAACTAGTTCTGTTTGTTAGACAGATAACTAGTTCAGTGTTGTTAGTTTGTGAATAACAATTAAAACTAGAAATATTTTGATTACCTTTCTAAAAGTTTTTAGATTGAATTTTTGTCTTGTACTAGGATCTAGCACCTCCTATATATATATATATATTTTACTATTCTGTGGATGAACACTTAGTATGTGGGGGAAATAAGAGCTCAGCTAGGGGTAAAAGCATCATGGTTCTCTCCTGGGCTTTGTCTGCAAAGACACACGGGCACACACTGACCACGCATCTGCTGTGAGCCAAGCAGTGAGCTTTGAATTATGGAAGGGAACCTTCCCTGTGTCTTCTCTTTCATTCAGCAGGTTTTTTAGACATCTATATCAAATTATTTTGAACTTAAACATTTATGCATCTCATAATATGAATGTACTTCTTGATAATACGTGAAAACATGACATAAAATGTGAGAAACTTCACCTCTAATTTTACCACTCTGAACTGTATATGGTATATCCACTTCATCTTTTTCCAAATGCATCATTTCTTTAAATTTTTAATCATTACAGAAATATAATGTTGTAACTTGCCTTTAAAAATTAAATACTCTTTTAAAGTCTGCTTTTAATTCTCAACTTAAGAACCTCTATTCCATGTAGTTGTGCAATTTACCCATTCCCCTTACTGGACATTTAGGTTGTTTCCAGTTTGTTGCTTATTACTGCAACATATTTGTGTACGTAGAGCTTTTTCCTTCTTTCGTTTGTTTTTGATTTTCTTTGTATAAATCCCCAGCAATCGGTTTTACTTGGTCAAAGGGTATATACATTTCCATGGCCTGATATGTTTCCAAAGTTTTTTTGTATAAGAGTTATATCAATTTATACTGTCTTCAATAATTAAAAAGTTGCTGTTTCACTGAGAGCTTTTCAGCATTGAGTATTTTTTTCTAATATTAAATATGAAATACCTTAATTTAGATTGCATTTTGTTCACTAACAAGGTTGACCAGTGTATTGATTATTCTTTTATCTGTGATAAATGCAGCAACTATAGAACACTTTTATTTGTTCAAAATAACTAGTGCTATTGATACACAAAAACTTTAGCTTCCCCAAATACTACTTCAGATTGAATATATCAGATTCAATTTTCATTAAAAGATAGGTATTCTTTCACACTGCAAGGAAAAAAACAGTCAAGCTGCAGATGATTGGTTTTACATATTTATATGTCTCTTCATAAAAAGCAATTACAATCTGAGGACATTCATGATAGTTTTGATGCCAGCCCAAGTTCACCTTATTTAAATCTATTCTTTCGTGGGAAACATTAATTCTCACTGATAACTGGTAAAAGCCTCTTGATTTATCAGACTAATTTGCTATCATTAGGTTCACTGTGAGATAGAAGATTTTCTTTTTGTGCCATCTTTTTCTTTATCAGCTTTTTGAAAATTCAGCAGACAACCAAGTTTTTCTCACGTTCCCAAAGACCATCAGCATCTGGAAATCCTCCCCTTCCTGTTCACCATCAGCCCAGACTTTCTCTGTTCATTAGATGACTGCAGTGTGGGACAGATTTTCACCTGTCAGTTCATTTTGTTTTCAGAGAAACAGATACCGTAACAGTAACGAGAGCACTTTAGCAAGTTACCAGTAACTATTTCAAAGGTTTTTAAGAGGGGAAAAATTAATAATATTTTACATTAAAGTAGTTCCCTTTAAGTTGAGATGTCATGTCCTGAGGCCACTTCCCCATCCCAGGATCTCCAGAGGAGACCCAAGCCCTGGAGCCCTGGGCACAGTGGAGCCCATCAGTGAGTTCTTCCCAAGCACTGCGCTGCCAGCGTCTGAGGCACCCAGACAGCACAGGACTGTCGCCACAATGGGGAGGGGCTCTTCTGATGATAGTGTTAGTTTTACTATATTTTGAAGAAGTACATGAGTGCTGTCAACTTTGGGCAGATAAAAAGGAAACCATTTAGCCTGGTTTTATTTAATTATATCGCCTTATGTGGCCTATTCTGTACACTATTAATTCGAGAGGCAGACTGAAAGAGGAAAAGGAATCCTGAGGACTCGGAGACACAGCAGCCACGCCACAGCCAAAAATGAGCCACGACATACGAAAGCTATTACTGCACAAATGCACAACGTCCCGGGGTCTTAGTATTTCTTCAGCATCCATGGTTCATTAGAAATTAGTAGTTAAGTTATTTAAAAGAATTAAAGGCCTCAAGGTGAAAGAATATAATGTCAATTTTGAAGGTTTTTAGAATTGAGAAAGTAACATATCACTTGTGGCTGATTTTCAGGCCTACTTAATTATTTAAAATGACTAATTATGGTTAGGTAAAATACAGAATTGCAACTTAAAAATTCAAATGTGTAACAAAGATCTCTCTTCAGTTCTTGTTTAAAAAAAAGGACAAAACTAAATACATAAAATTATATTACAAATATCAGGGGAACTGCAACCATCATCAGATTTTTTTAATGTAGAAAAATAACAAACTTTTACCCACACACATTTAATTAATGTGAAATAGAACTACAACATTTTATATAACGTGGTTTTTCTGCTACTAAAGACTATTTGACGCAAAATATATTTTGTGCAAAAATTAAAGGGACTGTATTTCCAGAGAGTAGAAAAGGGAATCACTAGCGGGTACCCATTGTTAGGAAGAGAGTTTTTCCCCAACACCTATCCCACTGCCAGCAATGGGAGTGGTGACAACTGGTGACATAAAAATAAACATATTACTTTGAAATAGATAATGCCAGATTATTTCAATATTATGAAAAGCAAACCTTCACTCCTGACCACTTAAAGACATTCCCTACAAAATTCTATTATGTTTTCAACATTAATCTGGACAGGGGATGAGGGTGGTGCAGACGGAAGACTTAAAAAAAAAAAGAATGAGAGAGAGAAAACATACAAAAGGAATATATAAAACATTATGCATTTAGTAGAAATAATGAAAAATGACTTTGTGACACATTTTCCAAGAAAAGTTATTTTTACATATATTTAAATCCTGTAAAAACCAGGTATATTGCAAGGGTTAAAAACAAGTCATTGATGAATGATGATCAGTTTTACCAGAGTTCATGCAATTAATTATCTGAGTTGGAAAGCTACTGTCCCAAGTCACAAAATGTATGCTCTGCCACATGATTACATGTTAAAATCACTTATTAAAAGAAATTATTTTGCATTTGGTGCTGACAGAGCTCTTGAGAAAGTGCTATACAAACTGAAGTTTATAGAAATTTTTAAATGATAATCTCAAAATACCATACAAAAAATATGTAAACAAAAAGATGCTTTAGAGTTGCAGGGCATTATAAAATCCATAATGTGGTTTAAGACAAAAGATCACCTCTTGTGTATTTAAAAAAACTGTTAGCATAATCCTAAAAGTTCAGAATTGCGTTGTCAACAGCAAAAGGCACTGGGTACAGGGCGGCCACGCTGCACAGGGCGGGGGTCCTGCAGCCGCCAGCTCAAGCCCGCCATGCATGTGCAGGGACATGAAAAGATTCCGCACGCAACCAGTGCCACCTGGGAGGGGCTCTAGCACTAAGACACTCTTTCATCTACTCTGTCAGAGAGGAAAACTGCTTTTAAAAGAGATTATCAACAGTATAAATTCTGGTAAAGCACTGAAAATTAGGTATGGTATTTTTGGCACAAAAGCACTTTTAAAATCTGAGCTCATTTTGCAAAATATCTGTCTAGAATTTCTCATTTGAAAATAGAAACTTATAACATACACATAAATGTGTAAATGGTTTCATGAATGAATGAGTTAGAGTCCATGTTTCCTTAAACACTGCACACACCTTCTGTTTACTCCAGAACCAGGGATCTGCGTGTGCACGTACCTCCACATTCCACATCTACAGATATTGCACAAGTAACATTGCCAAAGTACACACTAATGCAGTCTGGCAAGATTAGGGTTCGCCTTTCAATATTATTCTTTTCAGTATTCAGATTCAATACTACTTCCTAGAAAAGCTAGATGACCAATTTCAGAGAAAGAACGGTTGCTATCTTTCCTTGATCCATAATATTAAAATCTGTACCAGTATATTTAGGCATTTCATTTATGTTTTCCAGCATTTCAAATTCAGCAAAACCTGTTTTTGATGTTTCTTATAGCATTCCTTCAAAAACAGGAGAAGCTTCGTCTAATGTAAAAAAATTAAAATAAGTCCAGAGGGCAGTAATTTTTCCACCAGAGATCTTGCTCCATTCTGAAAAGCACTGCAGAGCAGTGCTATCTGTTTAAGTCTGTCAGCTTTCAGAGAGCCATTAGGTGCAAAGTCTGCGAAAAAATTGTGTTAACATACCGTGACAGCTGGATGTATCTTACTGCACAATACAATTCATTTCTTCCTCCCTGAAGCATTTTAGGGTATGCTACAGCTGCTAAAAGGATTTCGGTTTTTCTTGGTCCTCTGTCTGTTGGGCCTGAGGTTGATGACATCTCCACCATTAAGGGTACTTGAATTCTGACCCAAGTGACTCCCAGCAGACGTGCTAAAGACACCTGGACACGTTGAGGGAAAACACAAAGGTTAACACTAACGGATCTCAGGGTCACCTGAGCGGACAAAAGGGATGAACTAAAGAAACACTTTCAACTGTTAGAGTTTTCATTTTGAACACTGTTTGTTCTAAAATGTAATCTCCAGTTTATGGGCTATTTATCATCCACGATACACAAGACTCTGGGCCAGAGACACTATGAGCGACACAAAGACTACTAAGACTGATTCCTGCCCCCAAGAAGCTTACAATCTGATGAGTGAGGTGAGGCACTACAAACAGGCAGTGATGCTACAGGACACTCAAAGTGTCATAAAAGAGACAAGATCCCACAGATGGTTCAAAGGAAGAGTCAACCACATCTAATTCATAACAAAGGACAAACTACATGGAGGGACTGGACCCCTGGCAATGCCCTGCACTCAGGTCTCTGTTCATTTAAGAGAAGTGAAGGCTGTGCTTCAGCCAGACAGATAACCGAGAGCTTTCTCCATAGATCTTGAGGGATGCACAGTTCTCAACAGAAGGTGGGAATGGGAGGCCATTCTTAATGGAAGAGCCAAAATGAGCAAAGGGATAAGTAAGACAGCCCTAGGCAGGCTCAAGAAACAGCGGGCCCTGTGGTGGAACCGTAAACAGGGTACATTACAAAAGTGGGGCACGAGGCTGCACAGGAAGGATGGACCAAACTGTCTTTAAATGCTGGGATGAAGAGAGCCTGCACTGAATGTGTTCCACAACCAGAATCTATCAAAGGGCTTTAATCAGCAGACTGGAAGGAGACAGGGTGGGCCCAGGAGACCAGACCAGACAGCGGCTTATCACAACTGCCCTGTCGTTTCTCAGAGCATGTGAGTGAGGTTCCTGACAGTAGGAACATACACAATAAAAAGGGCAAAGTAAGAAAAGTTAAAACAGGCCAAGAAAATGCTGTGTCTGTGTGTGTGTGTGTGTGTGTGTGTGTGTGTGTGTGTGTAGTGAGGAGTGGGGTGCAGGCAGCAGGTCCTTAGGAAAGAGGACCGGCACCCATCCTCCCAGAAGCCATGGCCCAAAGTAAGATGCGGACAGGTGCTTCCTGTTCTCCAGGAAATACTAAACTCTGCTGGCATCTCATGTTAAAAATCAGGATAGGTGCTCAGCAAGGTGGCAGGAAAGGGAAAAGGTGTGGAGATGGTGCAAGTGTCAAGTCAGAGAAACAAGTGTTCAAAAAGGACAGACCTTTAGAAAATTCATCAGTTAAAAAATCTTTTAACTCAATATACTTTTTTTTTTTTTTTTTTTGCGGTACGCAGGACTCTCACTGCTGTGGCCTCTCCCGTTGCGGAGCACAGGCTCCGGACACGCGGGCTCAGTGGCCATGGCCCACGGGCCCAGCCGCTCTGAGGCATGTGGGATCCTCCCGGACTGGGGCACGAAACCGTGTCCCCTGCATCAGCAGGCAGACTCCCAACCACTGCGCCACCAGGGAAGCCCCCTCAATATACCTTTTAATGAGAGCTGATACTACTAAATTTAATAATCACTCATCTCACGCTTTCCAGTCACATTTCTTAAAGAAAGGAGCATACTGTATTTAAAAAAAAACCCAGTAAATATGATAATAATGAATGGAAAATAAATTTACCAGGTAAACATGGGGCTAAAACTTCCTGGGTACTTACCAATTTTGTTACTACTTGAATGCATTGATTCAGGATCCTCAGCTATTTGTTGTTTAAGCTTTTGAAGATATTTTTCAGCCAAATATTTAAAAACTGGAATGAAAACAAAACCAAAAACCTTGCCAGGTCAGTATAATTATGCATGTAAAACCTGTTCTTTCACATCACTTACTATAATATTTATACTTAAAAAACAAATTTAAAATTATAGTTAGAAGTATACAATCTAGTTGAAAAAAAATTCAACTTCTAAAAATTATCTGAGTAATACCTAATTACAATGGTAATACTAATAAATATATAGTAGCATTTTATTAGTAAAGAAATGAAATATTACTTGTAGTCATTGGCTCTTTAGTTTTAAGTACCTGAATAGTGACTAATATTCAGCAACACTAAACTGACTCAGTCTTAAAAAGACTCTTTCTTTAACTGAAAACCACTATTCAGGGGACACTGAAGCAACAGCTGAGCTGCAATCTAATAAAATGAGCAGCAATTCCGGAATGAGAAAAATAACCACCATCTTTCTCTAATCTCACTTTCTTAAACTAGGAAACACTATTAAACAAGTTAAGGTCACTGTAACTACCTAGTGGGGTGTCCACCGCTGTGGGGTTCTAATGCAGCAATTTTAGAAGGTACGCTTGAAAAACACACACGCATATACATAGCCAGTTGTATTTTTAAATACAATAAAGCCCACTGGAGTTTTGCTGTAGAGTAACAACTATTCAAAGACATTAGTAAATAATCAAGGACTCAAACTCAGAGCAGCATCAGCCTTTAAACTTTACTTAATGATACATGACAAACAGAAAATTCTATTCTCGTTACAAATATGATTTCTAAACAACAAAAAGAAAACGCATAAGAAGAATAAACAAACTTCCTGCTGTTAACTGTTAAGAAGGCACTTTACCTTCCGTCACGTTCAGATCCTCCTTCACTGAAGTCCTGTAGAATCTCAGCTTCAACTTTTTTGCCAGTGCCTCAGCTTCCTCACTACACATCAATTTGAAAAAAGCGTATGTAAAGGTACTTTCTGAGAGCTTGTTTTATTACATTTACTGCATACAGCCTGAGGACAGCGGTCAGCCCTTCCAGAACAGGTGAGAGCTACACTCAGTGCTTGAGCAGGATTTTCAGTTGTCACTGCTCTTGGGGGGGTAAACACCAGCCATCTCACTGTAACGGCAAGACACTTTTCTATAAAGTCACTTACTCTAGCCTTAAAATGACTAAATGTTACTTTTCTTTATATACTACTTTAATTTTCTCTCTTCAGTTATTAAAAACACTTGAATTTAATTACACTCTGAAAGTCTTATACTGCATTACCTATTTTACTCTTATTGGCTACAAAACTACTTTGCTGCCAAAGCCTAAGTCAGTATATTGATGTGTCTAGAACAGTGGACTCCTAATTTTAGTTTCATTATGACTCCCCAATTTTCTAAAATATTTCCCAATGACTCTACCACATGCCTCCCCTCCCTCACTGTAATCAAGTTGGTCTGTGTCATCAATGACATACATAAGTGATGGCGTATGACTTTGAGACTCCTCATAAGAGGCACTGCGGTTTCCGCCTTGCCCCCACTGGGATCACATGCCTGGGGAAGCAGCTGCCACACGCTGAGGACACTTGCAGCCTGAAGCAGAGGCCACCTGCCCATGGCCAAGTGAGGGTGCCATCCCGGAAGCAGACCCCCCTAGCCCCAGTCAAAAGCCCTCCTGTGACCACAGGCCCCGGCAACATATTGACAGCAACCTCATGAAAACCCAGAACCAAGCCACCCAACTAAGCCACTCCCAAATTCCTGACCCACAAAAACTGTGACATAATAAATGTTTGTTGTTTTAAACTACTAAGTTTTGGGCTAATCTGTTATACAGCATCAGACAACTAATACAAGAACTTATAAAAAAATAAGGTAAAAACCAAATAAGTATTTTCTTATTTGGCAAAACATTAATAATGCAGTAAACAAATACTTATATAGAGAAATTATCTGGATGCCAAACTCTGTTCACAAATGTGAGCATAATGGTTCTGGGTATACAAAACAATACGAATCTGAACTGCTTACCTATTTAAACTCATCAACATACTTATGCTAGACATTAAAACATCTAGGGATGTTTTCCTTTTTAAATTTATTTATTTATTTTTGGCTGCGTTGGGTCTTCGTTGCTGCAGGCAGCCTTTCCCTAGTTACGGTGAGCGGGGCTACGCTTTGTTGCAGTGTGCGGGCTTCTCATTGTGGTGGCTCCTCTTTGTTGCAGAGCATGGGCTCTAGACATGCAGGCTTCAGTAGTTGTGGCTCGCGGGCCCTAGAGCGCAGGCTCAGTAGTTGTGGCGCATGGGCTTAGTTGCTCCGTGGCATGTGGGATCTTCCCGGACCAGGGATCAAACCGATGTCCCCTGCACTGGCAGGAAGATTCTTAACCACTGCGCCACCAGGGAAGTTCTGGAATGTTTCTCTTAACATTCTTACTCTGTCTAGATTTGACTTCACATGAGGAGTTGGATTTGAGCTGCAAGGACCTGGAATTCTAAAAGGGCTTTCAAAACGTACTCCTTTAATTTTCTTTACTACTGATTCAGTGTGAACTTTTTAAACCCAAACCAATCACACAATAGCTCACAGAAATTTTTAAGTATAAGGCAGTCTTTTTAAAAACTTTCCTAAATTTTGTAAGTGTATGCAAAAACTAAAATAGGTTTTAGCTTTACAGAATTACAGCCACCCCCTCAACAGTAGCCACCTTACTTCTTTATACAAGAGTCATCAAGGAGATCGATCTTGTTTTGTACAAGTACAGTTGGTATATCTCCAACTTCAGCCACCACCTTCTCTCTCCAACTGGAAATCGCTTCAAAAGATTCCCTGTCTGTGGTGGAAAATACAAGCACACAAGCCTGGGCTCCTGTAAGTTCACAAAATAAAAATGTTATTTACATTAATGAAACAATCCTATGCAGGGTGAGGGAAACTTTTACGTATTCAAAACAATTTTTATGTAAATAAATGTTGAATTCATCTTTGTAGCACTGCTTTTTTTTTTAAATTTAATTTATTTTATTTTTGGATGTGTCGGGTCTTCGTTGCTGCGTGGGCTTTTCTCTAGTTGCGGTGTGCGGGGGCTATCCTTCATCGTGGTACGCAGGCTTCTCATTGCAGTGGCTTCTCTTGTTGCGGAGCACAGGCTCTAGGCGCGCAGGCTCAGTAGTTGTGGCACACGGGCTTAGTTGCTCCGTGGCATGTGGGATCTTCCCTGACCAGGACTCGAACCTGTGTCTCCTACATTGGCAGGTGGATTCTTAACCGCTGTGCCACCAGGGAAGCCCTATTTTTTAACATATAAACTCTATTTTCTAATTCAAAGAACCAATTTTTACCAAGAACAGCGGTTCTCAAATTTGTGCAAGTGCCAAAGTACCCTCAAAATTATATACATTCCTTGTGGAACACCACAAAATACTGATATATTTAATAACACTGTAAAAGCCACAGAGAACAGTAAACTAGGCATGAATGACAGAGTTGCTGAGTTCTTCTCGTTAATATCTGTCACCTGCTTCTTAATTTCTTTTGGCACAGATTTAAGAAGTCTATGAGAGAAAAATATCATAATTTTCTCATTCTATTTACTTTTTTAAAAAAATCTATATTATTTTGTTTTAGTAGCAGAATACCATCAATGCTAAAGAATGTAATTTAGGAACCAGTGCCAAGAGTAAAATATTAATATATAGTAGAGAGGAAAAGGGTTTAATTTAGTTTTTCATCCTCTTTAACTGCATAATTCCCATACCATACTCACAATATTTTAACTATCAACTATCACATTAGGTTGACAATATTTTAACTATCAACTATCACATTAGTTGATAATATCTCATTTTAAAAATAAGCATCAACCTTCTGGAAGAGGGTTTTTACCAATGATTTGCTGTTGAATCAGACAGCATAGTGACAAAAACAGGTGAGAAGAGAAAATCGTCCTGGAGTCAAGAGGGTTCCTCACTGCTACTCCTTCCTTCCAGATATCCCAGGTGTAAGAGTTTCCTACTAAGACTCAAGACACACATACCTGGGCTACCTAAGACACTCTAGGGCCAAAAAAGGTTTGTTTATCACCTGAGGGAATATGGTAGGAACCCAAAGAACAATTAATGAAGGAAAAAACCAGCAGTTCACTATGACTGTAAAAGCAGAGGTTTCCCTCCTCTAGAACAGGCTTTGAACCAAAGAATAAATTAATTATGCAAAACTGAGGAGTGGGGGACAGGCAGATTGATAGACACAGCGTGAGACTTGCTCAGAATTGAAGGAGAAGTAAAACTGAAGAGATCACACTAGCATATTGGACAACAAATTTATATTTACTTGAACTCTTAACATTTACTTAAACTACAAATAAAACATTATTTAATCATACTTTAAGAAACTTTTTTGGGGACCTCCCTGGCGGTCCAGTGGTTAAGACTCCACCTTCCAATGCAGGGGGTGCGGGTTCGACCACTGGTAGGGGAGCTAAGATCCCACATACCTCGGGGCCAAAAAACCAAAAACATAAAACAGAAGCACTATTGTAACAAATTCAATAAAGGCTTTAAAAAACGGTCCACATCAAAACAAAACAAAAAAAATCTTAAAAAAAAAAAAAGTTACAAAACTCTGTTAGCTTTAAACCTAGAATTTTATATCAGTCAAGTGTCGTTTAAATTTGAGGGTCCAATAAGGTATTTCCAAGTATACAAGGTCCCAGACACACAAAAAAACACTTATTAGAGAAAATGTTAAAAAAAACAAAACACGGCTTCCCTGGTGGCGCAGTGGTTGAGAGTCCGCCTGCCGATGTAGGGGACATGGGTTCGTGCCCCAGTCCGGGAAGATCCCACATGCCGTGGAGCGGCTGGGCCCGTGAGCCATGGCCGCTGAACCTGCGCGTCCGGAGCCTGTGCTCCGCAACGGGAGAGGCCACAACAGTGAGAGGCCCGCGTACCGCAAAAAAACAAAACGAAACAAAAACAACTAACAAACAACAAAAAAAAAACTAAGCAGATGGTGCCAGAGATATGGGCAGTAAGAATAATTAACTAAGAAAAGCACAATTTTGTTTGAAAAATCAAGGATCAAAGGATAAAAGAAAAAGTCTGCCCATAAAACCGAAAATTATTTAGTGGGGGACTTGGGTAGAGAGACCACACTGGGCGGGATGGGCCGCAGTGCCCTCTGAGGAGGAGGAGGAGGGACCTGGATTCAGAAGCCACCAGGGACGTGAGCACGGTGCCCCCTCCCCCCACAGGTGCCCTGTGTGTTCCCCGCCCCGACCCTCCAGCAAGGGCTGCAGGGGGCGCTCTGCTCTTCTGCCAGGGGTGGTCTAGCACACCCCCTAAGGAGACTGGATGCCTGGAGAGGGGTGGGGGGGGATAAAAACCTCAGCTTCCCTGGGGTGGGGTCACCCCGAGGCGTGTCTCCCCGCCTGCTCTCCCCGCCTGCAGTAGTAACTGGCTCATTACTGCACCCTTTATGCACGGTTCTCCCTTCTTTCCCTGGCCTCTCTCTTCTACATCCCACACCCACCCCGCTGTGTGTGTGTGCGTGTGGGGGGAGGTGTAAAATGACCCTAAAAAAATAATAAAGTAAATTAAAATGACCCCACGCTGCTCTACCTTCTTTTTCTTTCTTGGACCCCTAGCTCTGTGTTTGTACCAGCCATCTTTGGGAAAGTTGTTTTAATTTCTCTGTTGTTAATATTGAAAGGCAGCTAGTGTTTTCTACCCATATATTTTACAAAGACCTACTATTCAATCTTCCTTCAATACTACCTACCCTAAAAATTGCACCGTTGGAAAAGTTTCTTCATTATCATAGATAACAGTAAGTCACCCATAAGTAGATCACTTCTAACAGTTAATAAACTACCTCACTTGTCCATGCATCAGAAATACAGAGCTCTGAATAAATTTTTGGTGTCAATGAAAAGATCACCAATAGCAAGTATTTATTCCTCCTTAATAAGATCATTCCAAAAAAGCCACTATATTTTAATGCAATTCAGAAAATACTCTCCAAGACACATAATGTGCAGAGAGTAATTCTATCCTCAAATCACTGACAGATCCTACAAGATGGTCTGTAGGCAGGTCCTGAGTGTGGCTGACAGCAGCATCAGTGTCACCTGGAAGGCTGTAGAAATGCAGACTCTCAGAGCTACCCACAGATCTATAGAATTCAGTTTGCATTTTAATGAGCTCCCCAGGGGATTCCTGTGCACAGTCAAGTTTAAGAAACACTGCTCTAGCGAACACCAGCAAAGGCTTTAAAAATACTATTATAGATACTACTCAGGATTTAAAATGCTGTCCCTTATTCTTTTTGACATTCTATACAATCTAAAGCACATAAATTATTCACTGAACCAATCTGTCACAGATTCCATGCTCACATAATTTCAAAACAAACCTCAGACTTGCATAGTCTAATTCTGTTGTTCTTTAATTCTTGCATTTATAACTTATAACTAGCTTCTTGTCCAGAGCTATTTCATTTCCAACAATTTATATTCATTTATATTTGTGAAAAAAAAATATTTTTTAAGAAAATAAGGGTTTCCTTCTACTTATGTGCATGATCTCAAATAATAGGTCTCAAGTCTATAACCTAATTTACATATACTTAGAAGCATTTTTTTTCTGAGAACCAAGTCACAGTAAAAAACTGTAATAAAAATCTACTTCATGTTGTATGTAACTTTCTGTACTAAGTACGGTTTCTACTGCCTAGGGTGGACTTTCTTAAGGGTTTAACAGGAGTCATCTGGGCTCCCAAAGGCTTCCTAATATGATCTGTGCTCTGTTCTAACCTACTGATAAGGAGATCATGTTTCCACATGTCTCACTGTACAATTAAGCCAGCATTCTAAGAACATAATGATGCGTTGGAGCAATGGTCTTGCTATAATAGGTCTTTTAAATGAATTACAATAAATTTTTTCTTTTTTAAATACAATTTTTATGCATCTTGAATAACACATTTTTAGGACATGAGTCAGTAGGTCATAATTTTATAAGGCATAGTGTTTCTATCACTAAATCTCTATCTTAACTCATTCTGCCCACCTTACCTTTTCTTCCTACTCTTTATTTAATTATATCGTCATCTGAATCTATACTAGTAGCAGATATTACCTGGTGCCTAGCCGCCATCCAGTGCCCTGTCCCCAAGAACACCTCTCCCCCTCTGTACGGTAGCCTATGGTTTAGGCAGCTAAACTTCCCTCTGCCTTGGGGGAGCCCCAAGTGCGCCAAGCCCATTAGGGCAATCACCTTCCTCTGACTACTCACTGTAATCTGGTCAAAGGTGGTCTAATCAGATAAAAGCTCTGGACTTTTGGTCCACTGTTGTAGGAAGTAACCCTCGGTCCCCAAGAATGTGAACAAAAAGCACTGTCGATGGTAGCAAACTTGCAGACAAGAGGAAAATCAGCATGAAGAGGAACCCCACACAAGGAGGCGGCCAGCCAGAACAATCAGCAAGGTTATAGTCCCAACAAACCACAAATGAAAGCTACTCCCAGTAACAAGTCAACAGACGCTAAATAAGTCAGTTTGAAATTGCTTTTCTGCTGTCAGCAACCAAAAGCACTCTGATAGAACCTCAAAAAAAAAAAAAAAGCATGTAAGTCCAATATGCCATTTCTCAAATTCATGTAACATTGCCACTGTTTGTTCCTTAATTCAAATAGGGATGTGAGGGAAAAAGCTGAAGCTTAAGACCTGTCTCAGTATCTACCCTCTTTGCCATTTTAACATAGTTGGCTAAAAAACGTTACATTTAAAAAAAACCTTTTAACAGATCTATTTATACACTTAAGATTGCTTTAAGTTAAAACGTTAAACACAGGGAAATCAATGCTGTTTAAAGCCTTTTAGTCCAAATGAAACAAAGTGAAAAGAAATTTGAACATCACCCATATAAATTAAGATGTAAATATTAATAATTATGGGCTCTCTTTTTAGTTTCTGGCAAAGAATGTTGTTTGTAAACATATGAAAGAGAAATGGTATGATTCATGGACATCTAACAAGTTAAAACAAGAAGTTTGCAACAAACTGGATGAGTCAAGTTAAAAAAATTAGAAGATAATAATGTTGAACAAAGTCTTATGGCAGTGGATATTAAAATATGTTTAGCTACCTGGTCTTTTTCTTTAAATTAGGGACCCAAATGAGCTACTTAACTGTACAGTTCCAACATTTTCTCCTTTTTATTCATATACGAATCAAATCATTTTGACATTTGACCAGTTTTTTCTTTTTTTAAGTTAAACTTTATTTTGAGATAATTGTAGACTCACAGTTTTGCCCTTTTAAATTAGAGAGACATAATGATAATACTTTCTCCAAAAATAACCATACTAGTTAAAAAGTAATACTGCCACATCACATTGTCAAAAGCTTAAAAAGAAATAGCCCAACCTATTTTTTTCCACACAAAAAGAACATATATTTTAGGCTGAGAATTTAGAGAAGAAAGCTAGGTAGGTAAAAAGAGGAATTTCCCCCCCAGTTTATTTAGTCTTAGATCCTATCATTGTAGCTCTTCCTTTTCACATGTATCTCATACTTCCCTGAACTCGTATAGCCTAGAGAAGGCTTTACCCACATTAAATATCGTAACAAAATGCCATCTTGTCTGCCAGGGCTTTACTTTTTCTTATGTTAGTTTCCACTCTACGTAGTCATTTCCCTGGAGTCAGAGAAGACATTTCACAACTTCTGACTTATTAGGTCTGGGAATGACTATATGAGTCATGTAATTCTAAGGCAGAGATAAACAGTCTATAGCACAGAGTATTATTTACCACCCAACAAGATCTTTAGAAGAATAATAGCCTGGGGTTTTAAAAAATACTTTGGAATTGATTTAAATATTCTTAAAGAGAAATCCTTCTATGGGAAACAAGAAAAGCAAAGTTCTTTGTTCAGCTAAAAGAACACGTCAAAACAAACTAAAGACACCCATGATTTACCTCGATAGTAGGCCTTTGTTATTGCATCAAACTCCTCTTGACCTGCGGTATCCCATAACATGAGCCTGACGTCTTCATCATTAACTCTGAAACAAGAGATGAATGAATTTCATATGCAAAGGAAATGTATTTTTCAAATCTGGTGGTATTAAAACTACATTGTTGGGCTTCCCTGGTGGTGCAGTGATTAAGAATCCACCTGCTGATGCAGGGGACACGGGTTCGAGTCCTGATCCAGGAAGATCCCACATGTCGCAGAGCAACTAAGCCCGTGTGCCACAACTACTGAAGCCCATGCGCCTAGAGTCCGTGCTCCGCAACAAGAGAAGTGACCGCAATGAGAAGCCCGTGCATCGCAACAAAGAGTAGCCCCTGCTCGCCACAACGAGAGAAAACCCACATACAGCGATGAAGACCCAACGCAGCCAAAAATAAATAAACAAATTTATTTATTTATTTACTTATTTTAAAAAAACTACATTGCTGGTTTCACTCTGAAAAAGTCTGAGCGCTTTTAAATGCTGATACCATTACCAACAGTGCAAGTAAAGGGTGAAAGACACTCCCCTAAAGCTGTAATTTTACACGATTTGGATTTATCTGTCATGTTTTTTTCCTTCAACCACAGTCACAGATAGTGGTGGCTCTAAGACTAGCATCCGAGGGGTCCATGCCTGAGGATTCAACCAACTGCAGATAGAAAATATTTGGAAAAAAATTCTAGAAAGTTCCAAAAAGCAGAACTTGAATTTACTGTGTGCCTGGCAACTATTTACACAGCATTTACATTATATTAGATATTATAAGTAATCTGGAGATGATTGAAAGTCTATGGGAGCACGTGTGTAGGTTAAATGCAAATACTATGCCATTTTATACAAGGGACTGAGCGCCCATGGATGTTGGTGTCCGTGGGATCCTGGACACCCAGGGTCAGCTGTCCTGGGAAAGGGTTCCCTTAGGTCAGTGTTTGCCCTCCTCCTGCTACCCTATTCTAATGGAGGAGAATAGTAAGAAAGGAAAGAAGCAGCTTACTGCTTGGTTGCCCTTTAACCCCCAAATTAACTCTGTTCTGTCACACCTGTTGTCTTATTCGCAGGCAGTAGTTCTGTTCTACAGAGTCACTGCCAACACTGAATTAGCAAATCCTGAACCATTCCTCTGAGGGAAAATACCAGGCGGGTGAGGTGCCTGTGAGCCCCTGGTTACAATTTCATCAACTGATGAATATATAACCTTGTTTTTTGCATTGTTCTGTTTAAACACACCTTATTTAATATACACTGTTGATTCATTAACATTGAACCCATGGCCAACAGTACTATAACTGGTGCCTGAACGAAGCTTATCTAATACATGTGTTTTCTCCATAAGGCACGTCACAGCTCACCAGACGGCACTTCAGCTCTAGGCTTGGGGCCATTTTAAACAGCGAAACTACCAACAGAAAGCACAAAAATGTGGCACAAAAACAGAACATGAAAAGGCCACTCATGTACAGTATGAGAGATGAAACAAAAACGCAGTGGGTCGCCTTGTTCAACCTCAGCCGAACGTGTGTGTATAAGTGACTCAAATTTTTTGCTGCTCTGTGCATGTCCACAAATGACCATCAGAGTACTGGGAGTACTGAGTCTGGGGTTACAAATAAATTTTAGCAAGCAGTGAATTTGCAAATATGAAATCCACAAATAATGAGAAGTAACTGCATACTTAAAATATAAATATGGAGTCTGAATAATAAGGGTCAACTGTATACTTAAAATATTAATTTGGTCCAGATAGCAAGTGCAAAAAATAAACATCATCAAGATTTAAAATGAATCCCCTTAAAATATCTAAGAAAGGAAGCAAATAGAGAAGTATTTTTAAAAAGAGAGTAACAGAATACAGATTATAAATTCAACATCTTTAAAACAGTGAACACAATTATCTTTGATGCTAGTGTCTGGGATAGTTAAATCAGATTTGTTTAATGTTTCTCCTACAATTTAAAATATCCTTAAAAGTTCTCAGGACTAATGACAAAAAGTGTTACTTTGATGTATTTTAGAATCCAATTGGATTTCCTTTTCACAGGAGTATTTAATCCTTTCAAATCTTTCTCTTACTTCTTTAAAGTAAAAACAAATTATTAATTCTCTAACTTCTATAAGCCCAGTTTTAAAAAGAGAAGAGACATTTTACACAAACAGATCCCATAATATAAGAGATGAAAATTATTCTGAGAGACAGGTAACTTTCTTTCCAAATAAAATAGTCGACAGAAATCTCGGTAGAATCAAGCGTCAGTTTGTGTTTAAGAAGTGCTCAGGGTGCCACCAATAAATATAAAACAGATGTAAGATTGAAAAAGAGAGAAGGGAGAAGTGTAGGTAAAAAAGAAGAAAAAAATGAGAGAGAAAGGGAAGAGATGGGGGAGTGGGGAAAAAAGAAGGCGAAGACACACAAAGGAGTGAATAACTGAAAACCCGCTGCCACTAGACACCTAGCCTTGGATTGTATTGTACTCAGTTACTATTATTCTGAGCAAACTCTTGGACACAGCTCACATATCAAAAGCGAGAGGATAAAACAGCCAAGTACATACTGTATCTGTCGCTCCAAAAAATCAACTCCAATGGTTTTCTTGTAGTCTTTTGTAAAAATGCCTTTGCAATACCGCTGAATCATACTTGATTTTCCAACTGCGCCATTCCCTACAACCACCATCTTTATGGCCACTTCCATATCTTCCTCCAACATTTTTGGAGTTGAAAAGGTTTCTGTGCCAAATTTAATTCCAGGTGATCCGATCTTCTCTCTCAAATCTGTGGTTTAAAATGAAGTTATTTTTTCATGACATAAAACCTATATAAAATAAAATAAGCTATAATTGTTTTATCAAGAAATAATCATAATGAATTGCAAGAATTTTTTTCCGTGTTGAAGGCCCTCTCCCCACCCTGTTCAGATAATGTAAATTCTTTGAAAAAAGAGACAATAATACCATTCACTTTTGCACCCTTAACAACAGCAGAATGTATGACTTCCAGGTACCAATAAATGCCTAGATTACATAGTTCTGCCTTTCACTGAGACTAGAGTATGAGTGTTAAGAGTCGAGGCCTGACTTACTAGTTGCTATTTACTGGTTCTGTGCTCTTAGTGAAGTTATTGCTTAACCTCTTGAAGCTTCAGTTTCCTGAGGATATTTACCTCACAGGATTGTTGATCAATGATAGATACAAAGCACTTAGCACAGTGAAAGTTAGGCATTCAAAAAAATGGTAGTTTCATATACCATAATAAATCCTCCTTTTATCCCATTTGGTGGATAGTTACCACCAAATGGGCAACAAATACAAAATCTAAGGAAACTGCTCTTCATCCTCACAGGTAATAATTAATGTCCCTAGAACAGCACCCTAAGGAAGGGTTTTGTATAATGCTATGCAACCACGTGATAGCATCGGGCTCTTAGTTACTGTGCTTTAGATTACAATGGATCCTCTACACATCATCTTATACCATGCATTTTCTTCATCAGTTTCAGACTAGTTACAGTTACTCATATAATGAAAGTAATAGAATGTGTACTGTTCGCATTTTAGACTGAAAAGAACAGAAAGCCAATTTCTTCATATTTCTTCTTAAAATTACTAGTTAAGTTCCTGCCTACTTAGCTATTATATTCCAGCTACCTTAACCAAAAATCCATTTATACAACCACTACACAAAACATGTCTGAAATGTGAAGAACATTCCTTTCTTTGCCCCTAATGGAGTCTCAGTAATTGTCCCTAATGCTTCACAGACTTGCACGATTGTAAGCAGCATCTAGGAGCATTTGTTAAAGTACAGGTTCTAGGTCTCCACTTCAGACATAATTAAATGATTAAAACAACAACTTAAAGTATTGGAACAAGAGAAAGAAGATGACAGAAGCAAAAATATGGGTAAATATAGCAGACTTCTCTTAAATGTTCTGTTACATTTGACAGTTGAAAGAAAAATTATAATACTGTTCAATATGGTTTTCAATATATGTAGAGAAAACATTTAAAACAAGTAATTATACGTGGAAGAGGGGACTTCCCTGGTGGTCCAGTGGTTAAGACTCTGTGCTCCCAATGCAGGGGGCCCGGGTTCGATCCCTGGTCAGGGAATTAGATCCTGCATGCCGTGAGCCCACATGCTGCAACTAAAAAAAGATCCTGGGCTTCCCTGGTGGCACAGTGGTTGAGAGTCCGCCTGCCGATGCAGGGGACACGGGTTCGTGCTCCGGTCCGGGAAGATCCCACATGCCATGGAGCAGCTAGGCCCGTGAGCCATGGCCGCTGAGCCTGCGCATCTGGAGCCTGTGCTCCGCAACGTGAGAGGCCCGCGTACCGCAAAAAAAAAGAAAAAATAAAAAAAGATCCTGCGTGCCGCAACTAAAGATCCCACATGCCACAAATAAAGATCTCGCATGCCACAACTAAAAGAGCCTGCGTGCTGCAACTAAAAAAAAGATGCCGCGTGCTGCAACAAAGATCCCACATGCTGCAACTAGACCTTGTGCAGCCAAATTAAAAAAAAAAATTATACATGGAAAAGGACAAAAGGGAGGTAAGGTTTCTTAACTTCACTTGAACTGGTAAAATGTTGACACCAACAGACTGTGATAAATTACCTATGCAGCTAAACAAGTTACACAAAGAGATACTCAAAAACACTATAAAACACAATAAAACAAAATGAAATTCTAAAAACAGAAAACTGTCAGAATCCAATCAACATTTATAGAGCTGTCCACACAACAACAGCAGAATATACTTCAAGCACCCACTGAACATATACCAAAATAGAACATATTCTAGGCCATCAAACAACCCTCAACAAAAGCCAAATAAAGGGACCACAATGAAATCAAACTAGAAATCAGTAATGGAAAGATAACAGGAAAATCTCCAAACATTTGGAAATTAAAAACACAGATTTCTCAACAACCCATGGGCCAAAGAAGAAGCTCAAGAGAAATTTAAAAAATAACTGAATTGAATTAAAATGAAAATGTGTCAAAATTTATGGGACACAGCTAACATACTGCTGAGAGGGAAAATTTACAGCACTAAATGCTTACCTTAGAAAAGAAGAAAAGTCTCAATCAATAATCTAAGCCCCCACCTCAAAAAACTAGAAAAAGAATCGCAAAATAAACCCAAAGCAAGCAAAAGGATGGGAATAATAAAGAGCAGAAATCAGTGAAATTGATATAAACATTAGGAAATTGAATTTATAACTTTAAAAACTCAAAAAGAAATCTCCAGGCTCAGGTGATTTCATTGGAGAATTCTACCAAACTTTTCAAGAATGATACATACTCTCCCCTGGAATACAGAAGAGGAGAAAACACTCCCTAACTTATTTTATAAAGCCAGCATTATCTTGATACCAGCACCACACAAAGACAGTACAAAAAAGAAAACTAAACAAATAACCCCTCATGAACACAAATGCAAAAATCCTCAACAAAATATTAGTAAATCGCATCCAGCAATATATAAAAAGAATAACCAGGACCAAATGGGCTTTATTCGGGAATGCAAGGCTGGTTCAATACTCAAAAATCAATCAGTGTAATCCACCATATTAACAGAGTAAAGAAGAAAAACCACATCAACATCCATTTGTGAAAAAAACTCTCAGCAAACTAGAAACAGAAGAGGACTTCTTCAACCTGATAAAGGGCATCTATTTAAAAAAAAAATCTACAGCTAACATCACACTTCATTCTGAAAGACAGATTGAATTCCCCCTTAGACTGAGAACAAGGTAAGGATGTCCACTCTCACTACTCCTGTTTATCATTAGGCCTAGCCAGAGCAACAGGCAACTAAAATACTTAAAATGCTTATAGATTAGGGAAAAAAACTATTTCTATTCACAGATGACATGATTGTCTATCTAGAAAACTCCAAGGATTCAAACAAACAATCCTGGAACTAATAAGTGAGTTTAGCAAGGACATAGGATACAAGAGCAACACACAACACTCAACTGAATTTCTAATATCTTAATGTACAATTTGAAGCCAAAAATTTTTTAAATGATATTTACAATAGTTTCCTCCCAAAATGAAATACTTTGGCATAAATCTAACAAAACATGTACAGGATCTGTATACTGAAAACTACAAAACACTAATGAAACAAAGAAATAAATGGAAAGATACATCATGTTCATAGATTGAAAGATTCAACAAAGTAAAAACAGCAATTCTCCCCAAACTGATCTACGGTTTGATATAATTCCAAAGTACCAGTAGAATATTTTGTAGTTAGAGACAAGCTGATTCTAAACTTTATATGGAAAGGCAAATGAACTAGCATAGCTAAAACAATTTTGAAAAAGAATAAAGCTGGAGAAGATTATGCTACCCAACTTTAAGACACTATAAAACTACATCCATCAAGAAAGTTTGATACTGGCAAAGAGAAAGATACAAAAGTCAATGGAACAGAACAGAGGGCCAATATAGACCCACACAAATACAGCCAATTGATTTTTGACAAAGGTGCAAAACTATTAAATGGAGAAGACAGTCTTTTCAACAAATGGTGATGGAACAACTGGACATTCATATGCAAAAAAAAAGTAAACCTTCCCCTAAATCTCACACCTTATAGAATTTAAACTAGGGCTTCCCTGGTGGCGCAGTGGTTGGGGGTCCGCCTGCCGATGCGGGGGGCGCGGGTTCATGCCCCGGTCCGGGAGGGTCCCGCGTGCCGCGGGGCGGCTGGACCTGTGGGCCATGGCCGCTGGGCCTGCGCGTCTGGAGCCTGTGCTCCGCGGCGGGAGAGGCCACAGCAGTGATAGGCCCGCGTACCGCAAAAAAAAAAAAAAAAAAGATTATAGATCTAAATATAAAACTATAATATCTAGAAGATGAAAATCTTCTTGACCTGGGATTAGGCAAAGTTCTTAGACATGCTACCAAAAGATGTACAAAAGGAAATATGGATAAATTAGACTTCATCAAAATTAAAAACATTAGCTCTGTGAAAGACACTGTTAAAACAATGAAAAGAAGCTACAGACTGCAAGAAACTTTTGCAAAACATATCTAACAACTTGTATCCAGGAAAGATAAAGAACCCTCAAAACTCAACATAAGAAAGAAACTACTGAATTTAAAAATAGGCAAAAGTCTTGGCCAGATACTCACCCGAGATTATATATGCCAATTAAGTACATGAAAAGATATTCAACATCTTTAGCCATTAGTTAAAGACACATTAAGACCACGAGATACCACTACATGCCTATTAGAATGGCTAAACTAAAAAATCCGACAATACAAAGTGCTAGAGAGGAGATGAAGCAACTGGAACTCTCACATGTTGCTGGTGAGAATGCAAAATGATACAGCCACTCTGGAAATCAGTGTGACAGTGTATTACAAAGTTAAACATACTTTATATGATCATGTAATCCCAATCTTAGCAGTACCCTAGAGAAATGAAAACTTATGTTCACACAAAAACCTGTATAGCAATGTTTATAGCAGCTATAGTCATAATCACCAAAAACTGGAAACGATCCAAATGTCTTTCATTGGGAGCACATCCATCTAATAGAATACTACTCAGCAATAAAAAAAGAATAAATTGTTGATACATCCAACAACTCGAAGGAATCTCAAAGGCATTATGCTGAGTGAAAGAAGGTTACATGTTGCATGATTCCATTTCTATGACATTCTGGAAAAGATCAGTAATTGCCAGGGCTTGGGGTAAGGGGGAGGATATAAAAGGATAGCATGAGTGTTTTGGAGGTGATTGAACTGTTCTAAATTCTGACTGTTATGGTAGTTACATATATCTAAAATTCACAGAACTGCACACCCCCCAACAAAGTCAATTTTACCATATAATAATTTTTAAAATAATAAAATGTAAAGAAAAGTAAGTGGAATCAGATTTTAACACAGGCAGTCTGACTCCTGTGATTATCAGCCAATACTCTACAAACTTAAAGAACTATACCAAAACAATTAAATTCTTAGAAAATTAGCATAATTCTGAGTACAATACTTTAAAAGCTTGACAGTAACACTTTACATGTGTTCTTCTTCCAAGTTTAATTTTAAAGATTTTGCCAACCAACAGCCGTCCAATACATTAGAAAAGTAAAGGATGAGTTAACTCACTGATCGAAATGGTGGCTTTTTCATCACAGCCTGTACTTCAGCACAGGTATGATTATATTTATAAAAGCACTGAAAAACTTCTCAAGTTCAATGAAGTTACCTAGAAGATGTCAGGAGTTACATAAAACCTGGAGAAGTAGACAGCCCTTTTCAGACTGTACTGCCACTGGGATCCCCGAGTGAAGTGACTCTGCGGTAGCCAGTGTCAAGGAGACCGCGTAGTCAAGCTCATTCATATTCGAGCGGAACCCGAGCAACACCCGGGCTGGGTGGGGCCGCAGGCAGGGAAGGGGCCCGCCGCCCAGGACGGGGTCTGGAAGCCAGGGTGGGGCTTGGGCCCTTTCCCCGCCAGCCCCAACCCACACCTAATGCCCAGTCCCCACCGCCCCGCTGCACCTCCCCGCCCGAGGGCCACCCCAGGGAGGCGGGGGCGCGGGGAGGGGAGAAGGCGCCGGGGGTTGCGCCCACCGCCTGCCGCGGGGACCCGGGCCCCGCACTCGAAGTGCGCGCGCGGCGGCCGAGCCGGGGACGGGCGCCCGGCCTGGAGGCTCCCGCCGAGCCCCTGTCCGGCCCCCGGTGGGCACATCCCGGGCCGCGGGGACGGGCGGGTCCTCCGCAGCCAGCCGCGGTCGAGGGCGATGAGTGCGGCCAGCCGCCCCGGGCGCGAGCCGCTACTCACCGTCCCCGCGCCGCCCGCCGCCCGCCGCCCGGCGCGACCGCTCCTCCAGGTCGCGGTGTAACCGCTGTCTCCGCCGCCCGGTGCGCCAGCCCTCCGACAGGGCCTCCAGCCGGCTCGCGCCCTCTTTTGCTCTTTTAAGAATGACTGTGACTGTTTTCAGGAACTTTATTGGCAGAAGAACTCGGAACCAGCAGATCGCTGCGGCCCCGCCGCGGAAGGTAGGGCGCGGGAGACTCGCCTACCCTCTGCCGCGGACGCCCCCCACTCGGAGCATGCGCCGGACTTTCAGTGCGCATGCGCGCGCCGCCGGCCTCGCCCCGCTGCCCCGCCCCCGAGTTGGCCAAGGCTGAGGAGCGCCGCGTTCCCTGTGAGGCAGCTGTGGCTGGTGGGGTTCCAGGAGGCTGGCGGGAGAGGACGCTGCCGAGGAAGGGCCGCAAACGCTTCGTTTACCCAGTGGTCAGCTTTCAGAGTCCTCACAGGACGTGCCCTCCCTGGATGCACATCTTATACTCTTGACCGGAGGACATCCAAGTGGCGGAGTGAGCAAAACTGGAGCAAAGTCGAAAACGCACTTGGTCCGTACTCTGTGACTGGACCAAGTGCAAGTCTGCGATGCTTAATAATAAAGAGAACCAAAAGAAATCCAAAAGTTGGCTCGCAAAGCAACCTAAACTTTGCTTCAGTTGTTTTAATACTGTGAAATAGAATAGAAAAAAAAAAAAAAAAAGGAAAATACCAAGTGTTGGCGAGGTTGTGGAGTAGCTGAATCCTTCTGTCCTGCTGCTGGAATGTAAGCTAGAATAACTTTAAAAAACAATTTGGCGTGCTAGTAAAGAAGCATACCCTATGACCTAGTAGTTCCATGTCTGTGTGTTCAGCCAAGAGAAGCGTGTGCTTACGGGGGCACCAACAATTATCAGAATGTTCGCAGACGCATTTGTTTTAATACACCCAAATGGAAATATCGCAAAAGACCATCAACAATAGAATAAATTAATACATTCACAGTGTTCATATACTGGAATACTACTCAGCAATGAGAAGAGTGACCTGCAACTACAGGCAACAACATGGATGAACTGCAGAAACATAAAGTTGAGCATAAAAAGTCAGACACGAAAGTGTTACTGACCAGGGTTCTTGGCCTTCCCTAATCAATAGAAATTGACTAGAGGCCAGATAAGAAATTCAGGCAAGGCTTTACTGGGACCCCTGCTGTAGCATGGGGGAGAGAGAACAAGCAACATATTTCCTTGCTTGCTGGCTTGCTCGCTGGGAGGTGGCGAGTGGGGGGGGGGGGAGCGGGCGGGCGGGGAGCAAGCTTTTTCCTTATATAGCGTGAGGGTAGGGGTGTATCCAAGGGTTGGGCCAGAGGTGTGGCCTAGGTGGTCTGCCCACCCCTTTAGGTGGTGTTGAGTACAGGGGGCATGTGCAGTACCCTGCTTTTGCTCCAGACTCTTCAGGAGTGGCAGTTAGCTTTTTTGGTCTCTTTGTATTTTGGGGGTCCAGAATTTGCCCCAACGGCGCATGCACGCAGTTATTTTTAGTCCCATACAGTTTATTTGTATTTTGTTGCTCGAGGAGAGGTGTGTCCATGTGCAAGCACTGCAGCAAAGGGTCCCTGGTCCCAGCCTGTCTCATTCCGCCCGAGAGACTCTACACCCTTATTCTTAAGGGTAAGGGGCTGAAGGTCTCTTCTTCTGAAACTTCTTCCTGCTGGACAGGGGCCGCAGACCCTAGCCTGCCCTAGATGTCCCTCGCTGACTGTTTCAAGGACCTGTAGGGACTTGGGCCACCTTCCGCTGGAATGGGCTGAATTCCTTGAGCCATCATGAGCCTTACTTCAAACCGTTGGAGCCTGAAAGACACAAACTTAACCAAAAGGTTAAACAAACAAGGGCTAAACAGGAGAAGAACAATGATAGCCATTAAAGGGCTTAGTAAGGGAAGGAACCAGGGTTAACTTTGGGCTTCCTTAACTGTTGACCAGACAAGGGAGGCAGTATGGTCCCTGCCAAAATTATGAAGCCACTCTTGCCTTGTTTGGCCAGAAGGTAATCAAGGGCCAGAAAATTGTCAAGAACCACATCAGCTAAGGTAAGAAGAGAGGTCCCAAGTCCTGTTAAGGGTTCAAATAGGAGCCAACCCACTACATCATTTTACTTATCTGTTGATGGTGCCTGTCTTTTGAATGGGTATCTCAGATTGTCCACTGGCTCACAGGTGTATTGTTCTTCTGTTGTGACCTGCGGGGTTTCTGGAGGTAAAAGCTTTAGTCTGGACAAATGTACCTAACTAGATGTCCCTTGAAGTTTGACAGCAGTAGAGGTGGCTAAAATTACTTTATAGAGGCCCTTCCATTTTGGCATTAGTTGGTGTTGGGGGGGACCCCTCTTTCCAGGTTTTAAGAAGAACTTGGTTCCTGGGGTTTATTTGTAAAGGAACTGCTCCTTCCTCTGTAATTTTAGTGGGAGTCGGCAGTGCCTTGTGGGCATAGTCCTGGATTGCCCTCTGAACTTGTCCTACATTAATAATATATCTCAGGGCCTGGCTCACTTCCTCATCTAGTAGAATGTCAGTAGTAAGAAAAGGCCTCCCATAGGTCATTTCAAATGGGCTAAGCCTCAGACCACTCCTGGGGGCTACATGGACCCTGAGGAGTGCAAGGAAGCAAGTTGGTCCAGAGTGCATGAGTTTCTTGGCAGAGCTTTGCTAGGTTTTCTTTAAAGTATGGTTCATTTTCTCTACCTTCCCTGAGGACCGGGGGTGCCAAGAGGTGTGTAGCTTGTAGTCTATCCCTAGGGCCGTTGTGAGTCTCTGTGTGATTTTGGCTATAAAAGAGGGCCCATTATCACTCTGGAGGGACTTTGGAAGTTCAAACCGAGGAACTACTTCTTTTAAAAGGGACTTCCAGACGTCCAACCCCTTTTCAGATCAGGTGGGGAAGGCTTCAGCCCATCCTGTGAAAATATCAACAAATACCAGAAGATATGTATATCCTGATCATGGGGGCATTTGAGTGAAATCTAACTGCCAGACTTCCCCTGGATATGTCCCTTGGCATTGGATTGGCCTGAGTAACGAAGGAGGGATTGGATGGGTCTGTGGGTTATTATGGGCTCATAAATCACAGGCAAGTGTTATTTGTTTTGCTGTTCTTTTAAGCCCCTTCCCTGAAAAAGCCTTTTGCACCAAGTCCCTTAGTGCATCCCTCCCATAGTGGGTGACATCATGTAAGCTCATAGTGAGTTTCCATCGTTGGGCCTCAGGGCTTAGAACCTTATCCTCCTTTTTATACCAGCCTGTGCTTCCCTTCTCATAGCTCTACTTCTCAGCATTTTCATGTACCTGTGGGGAATACTGGGGAAGGCTAGAGAGTTCAGGGGTGCCAATCACTAGAGCCATAACTTGTTTGGGTTCCTGCAGCCAAGCTCCCTGTTTTGCAATTTGATCAGCTTTGCTGTTCCCTTATCTCACAAAAGAGCCATCCCTCTGATGGCCCTTGCAGTGGATTACTGCGACCTGTGTTGGAAGCTGCACTGCTTCGAAAAGAGCCAGAATCAAATCTTTATGTTTTATGGGGGAATTTTTAGCAGTTAACATTCCTCTTTCTTTCCAAATGGCAACATGAGCATGTAGCACGTGGAACCCATATTTAGAGTTAGTAAAAATATTTAATTTCTTATCCTTCCCTAATTGCAAAGCACTCATTAATGCAGTTAGTTCAGCCTTCTGGGCTGATGTCTGGGGTGGCAGAGCCTTGGCTTCTATGACTTCATCTAGACCAGCGGTCCTCAACCTTTTTGGCACCAGGGGCCAGTTTCGTGGAACACAATTTTTCCATAGACTGGGGCAGGGGCTGGGGGTGGGATTGGGATGATTCAAGTGCATTACATTTATTGTGCGCTTTATTTCTATTATTATTACATTGTAATATATAATGAAATAATTATACATCTCACCATAATGCAGAATCAGTCGGAGCCCTGAGCTTGTTTTCACTTGCCACTCACTGGTAGGGTTTTGATATGGGTCTGCAAGCAATTGATTTATTATGGTCTCTGTGCAGTCAAACCTCTCTGCTAATGATAATCTGTATTTGCAGCTGCTCCCCAGCGCTAGCATCACTGTCTCAGCTCCATCTCAGATCATCAGGCATTAGATTCTCATAAGGAGCGCGCAACCTAGATCCCTTGCGTGCGCGGTTCACAGCAGGGTCTGCACTCCTATGAGAGTCTAATGCCGCCGCTGATCTGATAGGAGGCAAAGCTCAGGTGGTAATGTGACGATGGGGAGCAGCTGTAAATACAGATGAAGCTTCGCTCGCTCGCCCGCCGCTCACCTCCTGTGCAACCCGGTACCTAGCAGGCCACGGACTGGTACTTGTCTGTGGCCCGGGGGTTGGGCACCCCTGATCTAGACTAACTATGGCATACCCCGCCTTTTGGGTCCCCATTTCTACAAAACTGCTCCCATCAGTAAACCATTTGACCTCAGGGCTGTCTAGAGGCTCATCTAGAAGATCAGGCCTGCAGGAGTAAGTTTGTTCTATGGTCTCCATACACTGATGCAGTAGGTCTCCACTCTCAACCACTTGGAAGCAGAGTTGCTGGGTTCAGGGTTTGGCACACCTTTAAGGGGATGTCGGGGGTGTCCATTTGAAGGGCCTGATAACTTGTTAACCTTCCTCTGGTCGACCAATGATGTCCTTTGACTTCCAGCACAGATTGTACCTGATGAGGGGTTAACACATCTAAGAGGTGTCCCAGGGTGAGCTTGGAAGTCTCATTTACCAACAGGGCTGTGGCTGCTACTGCCCAAAGGCAGCTTGACCATCACAGAGCCACTGAGTCCAGTTGTTTTGAAAAGTAAGCCACTGATCTCTGATCTGGTCCCAGCTTTTGGGTCAGGACTCCTGGAGCTATCCCTGACCTCTCATGACTGTATAGGGTAAAGGGCTTGTCCAAATTTGGAAGCCCCAGTGCTGGTGCTCTACTCAACTCTGTCTTTAGAGTCTCAAAGGCCCGCTGTGGTCCCTATTCCATTAAAGGGGTTCCCTTTTTTCTCCCTCTGGAGCCTCATACAGGGGTTTGGCAATAAGGCCATAATTTGGAATCCAGATACGACAGAACCCATCCATACCTAGAAAGCCTCGGAGTTGTCTCTTTGTGGTTGGAGATGGTAATGCACTAGTTGCTATTTTTTGATCTATGGCCAGGGTTCGTGCCCCTGGGGTCAAAACAAATCCTAAAT